TTTTTTTTTTTTTTTTCATAGTTTATTTTCTTAATTGGTTTTCTTTTCATTCACAATAGCACAGCGGGGCAAAGATTCAGAAATGACGGTGTGCTGGATGAGAAGCGAAGCTGCATTCTGGTCCTTGAAGTCCAGCTGGGAGGTCAGTCGTGTGTGGGAGCTGAAGATGCGTGTTGTAGATCAAGGAGCCGGAGGATCTGCTGGGCCGGACGTGAGGAAGGGACAGAGAGTGAGAGGAGAGTTCTCTGAGGTGGGGAAGCGATGGAAAGGGCTGAGAGGAATGTTTTATGAGGATTTCTCTTTTCTGGCTCTTGGTGAATCAGCTTGGTGAGAGTTAACTCCATTTACTCCGTTGGCTAAAAAAAAAAAAAAAAAAAAAAAAAATCCATTTATGGTGCTGAATCCATTGTTGTTGAATTAAAAAAAAAAAAAAAAAAAAAAAAAAAGGAGAGATCAAAAAATGTGAAAGAGCAGACAAGCCTTTAAGTTATGTACTGTTTTGTCATTTGAAAAACTGAAAAATAAAAGACATTTAATCGTGTATTTTAAAGAACAACTGTGGTGATCCCACTGTGTGAATGAGAGCTGTATTCAAATAGTGCTTTTCTACTCTGAGCACTCAGGGCAGTTTTCCACTACAATTCCTTTTATCGTACATAAACACTGCCCACGCTATTTTACTACAGAACAGTTTCATAGTCCAAGCTGAGCTGAATGCAAGCACCTATGATGATGGCACTGGAAGTGAGTGGTAGAAGGGTAGGTGGAGCTGGAGATGAGGACTAATTTGCATATGCACCACAAAGCCGAACATACTCCAAGAAAGAAAGGTGTAGAGTTACATCCAAGCCATTCTAGGGCATGAAAGGATTATTTACACTAAAAAATAGCTAGATATTATGCTTTAAATATGGAAAGTTGTAAGCTTAATTAATCCTGGGAGAGGAACCTCCAGCCATGTTTTTGCAAATAGGGAGCTAATTCATGCTCGTGCTCTCACCTTTGTCTTTCTTTGATTTGCTCTTGGAAGGAGCTTGTTTCTTTTTCAAGGTCTGAGCTTGGGCATGCTCTCTCCACCGGCGCAGCTGAAAGTTGATAAATTTCCACATCATAAAGGCCTGTGTGAGGCAGATGGCGGCCAGGACAGTTACCCTAGTAGAGAAAGAAATAAAAGCATCGTACTTTATCTTACGCACAAGACACTGGTAGAAACGGCACACAAAAACAAAGTAGGAAGTGTTTAATCTGCTTAGCACAAGATGCATTGTGGTTGCGCGTCATGCTCATTTATGGACGCAGGAGTGCACTTCCTGTTGTATGACGATGTTCTTGCTGTAGGTTTATTTTAGCTCTATACAACATGCTCTTAAAGGTCTACAAAGAAGGCCTCACGTCTCCACTGTGAGCGGTCTATGAGCGCTTCTTACAAATTTGCATTTGCCGCACATGAATTTTTAAAAAAAATATCAAGAAATTTAGCTTTAATCTCCACGAATTACACATTTTAAAAAAGGTTGTCCGAGCAAAAGAAATTAATTTCAGCTCCGTTTGCAAGTTCAGATATTTCAGTTTCTACTCTCAGAAACACTTACCGAACAAAAAGGACGTTAAAGTTTCCTGCGGCCCAATCGAAACCTTGGTTCTCAGCTGTGGAGAGGCCAAAGCCCACGGTGAGGACAGATAGGGACAGGGTGAGCAGCCGTCCGAGGACAAACAAGACCGCCCAAATGGTGAAACTGCAAAACAAGAGGACAAGTTTTAAGACTTTGCCCTCTTTCAATCTAAAACCTCCTAAATAGTGAACTCACCCCAGTTGCCTGTTCTCATTGCTGAAGTAGATCAGACGGGAAATGTGGAACAGAAGCTCGACAAAGTAATGACACACAAGGAGGACCAGACCCAGGCGGTTCAGGCTGTAACACACAAAGAAACATCTTTAGAGAGTTTTTCATTACAAATGACAGGAAAAAAAACCCCCACAAGGACACCACAAACTTTCTCCTAAAGGGCAGTGTACAAACACAAGCCACACCAACTCACACACTTAATTAAAGGCTTTCTACAGTGGGCGCTTCTTACTTTAGAATGTAGGCGCCAGCGATGTGCACCAGGTACAGGGAGATGTACACAAGCTGGCGTGGAATATCCTCCTAAACAGTAAACACAAAGGGTGGGAGGCCAAACATGGTCAAAATATTTACAGCAGTGCGGCTCTGCACATGGTGATTTAAGCGAGAGGATGATGAGACTTTGAAACAATGCGTCTCGGCCGTGGAAGTCAAACAGGAAACTGCGTTGCATCGTCCCACCCCAAAGCGACTGGCTCCGCACGTCCTCTTACCTTCTTTGTCTTTTGGAAATACAGCTCCGGTAGAGCATGCAGCCAGTAGCCCAGCTGACAGATGTAGTAGAATTTCATCTGGAATCTGAAAGAAAGCGAGACATTACAAAAAGCTTAGAAACGTCCCAAATGATTGATGAATTTCCACAATCAGCATCACAACTTACGGCATCAGTGTATGCGGATAACCCTCCCACAGGCTGACTGGATTGGACAGGAAGTTTTCCTAAGAACAAGCAAGCTTTTAAGTATGTTTTATGGGGTCAGGCATAAGCAGACAAAAACCAAAGGCAGCTGGCTATTGTACGTACAGAGAGCAGGATGCTTGTGCCCCAACCAAAGGAGAAGAGGTAGAAGGCGCTGAGCTGGCCGGACTCATTGAACTTGCTGTGTTTGGTTTTGGAGAAGTGCTTCTTCCTGTTGATTTTCTGCAAAGATGACCAGCAGTGAACAATACAGAACCGTTTCTAACAGAGATGACCTTAACTCCGTGTCTTTATCCCACTTACGTCCAGCACATACTCCTGGATAATGGCATGCATTATGATAGCCACCAGCATGTAGAAGAAGATAGTTGCCAAGTCCTTGATCCCGTGGTGGAAGTGGTTCACGGCAGTTTCCTCTGGTGCTTCTGCAGCACACAAAAGTCACGCAGAGTGAAAAATCAACACCCATCTGTGATTGAGTCACATCCAAAATGTCAGGTGCGCTTTCCTGGAGTGAGATGTTTGGATTAGTGAGCCCCGGCTGTGCAGAATTACACCGCTTTGAAAACGCAAGAGACTGTATTTGAACTAATATACACACTGAATCTCTTCTAGCTTTCTAAAGTTACATTTATTTCCATGCACCCTTGAGCTCAGTGTCCATAAAAACAGATATAGCCGATACGTGAACACAGTTCCCAGCAAGTATTCTAGATGGACTGAGTGGTTTTGGTCATCATTTACAGAAACTCGCAAAGAAATCGATCCAATTGGTCGCTTGAAAAATAAAAATACAGCAGCCATCATTGAAATTGTTTCAGAACACTCACTGCAGAGAGATTAGGACGCTGGATGCTATGTGGCTCATGAGATTCGAGCTGAAAATAAGTTACAGAATACGGCAAGTCGTCAGGTGCAGCAGATAAGAGCTGAATCACCGAGCTGGAAGCCTGCACACCACACACAGCACGAACAGGTCCTGCAGTGTCGGTATCTGAAGTCAGCTGGCAGAGATTCTGTTAACCTTGAAAGGAGCAGGACTCGGATTGTGAGGCCTATATTACACCTTAGCCCAAATTCGCCCGGCGCAACCTTGCCACAAGAGAACTTTATAAATCAGGCAGACTAAATTTAGCTCGGAAGCAGGGGGGGGGAAGAACCCTGAAATGGGTTTGTGCAGGGCTGCGTAAGTGCCACTTTAGAATCCAAATGAAGAGGAATGCAGCAAGTAAAAGAAAGTACTGCACTGAAACATCTGTTCTCCCCACACACCACTGGTTAACCTACCATTTGTTGATATGGTGACGTTGTACTGGACAGTTATGAAGAAGACTGCAAACTTAGAGGTGACCTGCAGACAAAAGGCAGTCGTGTCAATCTCAGTCAGACAGCAATTGTACAAAATACAAGTCAAAATGCTTATTAAAAATTGAAATAATACATTTAGGATGTGTATGAATATAGTGGTAATATAACACACCTGCGTTAATGCTGTTATGTTTAACACAAACTTACCGATATTCAGTATTTTTACCTGTTTGCTTTCTCTGTTATGCTTTTCCCTATTCGGTCCAGGAAAGCAAACATATCATCACTATAAACACAACTTTTCTGCACAATAGACACAGTGGGTTGTTTTGGGGGCCCTTTAGCCCCAGTGAATCTTAAATCTTACCGAGCCATTTTGGACAATTCTAGGTTTTTCCAGGTTTGTGGGAACAGTTTGGGGAGTTTTTCTGTTCCAGGACAACTGTGTCCCCGTGTATAAAGCAAGGAAAACGGGTGGATGTGTTTGGTTAGGAAGAACTTGACTGTGCCACCTTGATCTAAAAAAACAAAAACAAAAACCTCTTTGAAAGAAAGACTTTGAGCGAGGGCCTCTCGTTCAGCACAACGCTCTTCTGGATAAAAGGGCAAAAATTTCCACAGACACACTCCAAACTCTTGTGGAAATCCTTCCTAGAAGAGCGAACGCTGTCGTAGCTGCAAAGGAAGGGGGGGTGGGGACCAACTCCATATTATGTAATACCTATGTACTTAGAATGGGATGTCATAAAAGCTCCTGCAGGTGCAGTGTGTAGGTGGCCAGATACTCGTGTCCATATGAGTAAAAAGGCTTTTACTAATACAAGAAGTCAGAGTTTTTCCTTTGTGTCCCACTAATTTTGTGCAGTTATAGTTATATTTATAGTGGAGATATTTGTTTTCCTGGCCTAAAGAGGGAAAACTATAACAGAAAGCAAAACAACAGGTACAAATACTTGACATTTCTATGCCTTCCAATTGTTTTACTTTCATTTTGCTTATGTATTTTTTGTATACAACATTTTTAGTCAGAAAATTTAAGAACACGAGATAATGCATGACACTAAATGTGAATTATGTAGAGCAACAAACTCCTTATGCTCACTGAAAGTAAAGATAACTTAATCAAGGCAGGCAGCTAATGAGCTATCAGTTGGAAGTTGCATATTAGTCCTTCACAGCAAGACAACCCGGCTTGCAACAAATAAATATCTCAAAGCAAAGAAAAAAAGAGCTAAAGCTAAAGTAGCACAGATAAATCTAACAATTCCTGCAAATATCACGCTTTTCAACATCCACGCTGCCAACAGCACGTAGTTCCCAGGAGTTTTACTTTGGAAAGCACAAACAGGAAGCGGTTTTAATTATGGCCGGCTGGACACCAGCAGCGGTGGTGCTTTTTTTTCCGCCTTGGATGAAACGCGCTTTGACATTAACGCACATTTGCTTCAAAGCAGAGCAGATTGCGGCGCGTTAAGACACTGCCGTGCTGTGTGACACGATCCCGTGTGTCAGCTCGCTGTGTCCGGTCACGTCTGAAGCGCTCTCCCAGCTCCGGTGACAACTTTGAGTGACGGAGAAAGCGGGTTTCGGTGATGACAGCGCTGTGTGAACCGCTGCGCGATTGCCACGTAACACATACAAACTAACCCAAGTCCAGAGTGTTGCCAAACACCGTAACCACTGAGCTCGATAAAGTGCTGCAATGCAAACTTGCCGCTTGATGGGAAATTTCTGCAAAACATATCGCAAAAAAATACTTTTGTTTTTGATTTTCTTTTTGCGTGCATACTCGATCCGCGGGCCTTAGTGTCGATGATTTTTTTTCTTAAATAGCTTGTCGAATTTTAGGTGGGAAAGCAGCCAGATGTGAGTGAAATAGTTCCCACGACGCTTTAAAAAAACCTCATATTTAGTCACTGTAAATAACATTACCCGAGAGCAGTTGAGTGAGGTTAGAACGCTCTGGAATGAAACGCAAACGCGAGGCCATCGTGATGGGGAAAAGTTTCGATTACGAGAGGAAGTAGTGTGAAGAATAGATCAGACAGCCATGTCAGTTCTCATGAGAACCGATTGGGAGTATTCGGCATTCATTCTAGCGATAATCCCCCTCACTTTTCCTGCCGAGCATCCCTCGAGTGATCCACGGTTTAAAATAAGCCATTCAACATGTGGACTCACCTCAAACATCAAGCCGAGGAGAAACACCATAGCAACACAGGAAACAATATCTGCATGGTTCTGGATGACAAACTCATGGCTCAGCACCGGCGGATTCTTGTTAGTCTTTTTTCGGATCCCCATGTCGACGCGATTCGTCCAACTTTTGCTTCACTGTAGCCGGGTTTTCTCCCTCCTCCTGCCTGATAGTAAGATATCCTTGTGCTCAAAGCTCCCTCCTGTTTCCTACATGCAGCGGGCCAGGCAGCAATTGAATGGCGTGTCACTCTTCCACTAGTGGGAGGGTCCACGGATAGAGCTGGTGCGCCTGACCAACGAGCCATCTTTACGCACAGGAGAGTAACAGCTGGGGCTCTCTGTCGCTGCCTAGAGGTTCGGAGTACAAGATGTAAGCTGAGTTTAGTGGCTGGAGAAAGCCTTCCCTTAAAATATTTTCTATCATATCAGCTGCTTAATTTACTCTAAAAATAACCTGGACCAAGCCACACACCTTCATAAAGTAGATAGTGAGAATTAGTTTGCACTCTTATGTCATTTTGTTAAAGGATAGGGAAAAACACAATTTATGAGCAAATATACACTGGTCAAAAAAAAAAGAAAGAAAGAAAACTCAGTGGGTAGTGATGGGATTTCTCTTTTTAGAGAACCGGTGTTGTGCCAAAAAGTGATTGTCTGCCAAAAACTGATTTCCAGTGTTTCTGTGTATTTTTTATGTGTAATATCTTTACGTATGTTCGTAAATAGACTTCGGTGAACAGGGTTTACAAAGGGGTTATATAGAGAATTAAAAAATTATCCGTTTTTCAAGTATCTTTACAATTCTGTGTTATTGTACTTACATTATAACCAATCCGGTCCTTTATCCCCACTTAAAATATTTTTACAGAACTATTGTAATATTTGCTGCCATTTCTGCTGTCCTGTTGGGCAACTTACTCTTACAAAATACATTTTTAATGTTAATGAGATTTTTTTTATTGCATAAATAAAGGTTATATAAAAGTCGCTGCCAAAAACTGATTGCGGCTTGTATCTTGTTACACGAATGTTGTTTGTGGCTCAAGATGACTTTATGTCATCCATAAGGGATGCATTTGACATATGTTTCACATATTATAGCCCAACAAGTTACTTATAGCACTTTAAATATGAGCAATCGCTTTTTGGCAAATACCGGAAATCAGTTTTTGGCAGACAATCACTTTTTGGCACAACACCGGTACCGGTCCGAGGCCCGGGGGTTGGGGACCGCTGACCTAGATCATTTAAATTACACAATTGAAAGCATATGTGTATTGTTTGTGTATTTATACACAAGCATTCATATATAGTCAAATAATAATAAAAAAAAAAGTACATTTACCTGTTACTACCACACACCAAATCCGGTCGTTGGTATTTGCTGGCTTGTGTAGTCACTCGGTAACAAAAGTTCAACACTGCCCCTAGCATCCTGGAGCACTTCTGTTGTCTTTTGTACGTGTTTTGAATTTTTATGTGTTTTTACGTGATTTGAAGTTTGTATGTGCTTTGTCTGTAGGGACCACCGTAAATGTACTTTTATTTATTCACTCCACATAAAATGTAATAAATAAATCATATAATACAAAAATCAACTATTCACATTTCAACTTTTAACTATTTAAATTTTCAGCTTTTTCCTTAAGCAAATTTAAAGTGACACAACACAAAACACTGCAAACCATAACACAATTAAATATAAATTAAAATATGAAAACAAAAAGAAGATGCATATTCTCTGTCATATGGGTCTGCATGAATAAACTTTCTGAATCCTTTATCATCTGCAACTGAAAATAGTTGTGGATGATTACTATACCTTTCTATTGTGACATTGTTGTCCCTGGCTCTTTCTCTCTCTCTCCCTCCTGCTCTGTTCCTGTGCTACTGCCACCGCCCCTCCCCCCTCTGCCCAGCGCAAAGCACAAGGCTCGCATGCTGAGTGAAGCGGGAAAAAAAGTGCAAGAGAGAGGGTGAGCGAAAGAAAAAAAAACAACACGGCTGGCGTTGTTCACGTCAAAGAGGCGGCTCTAAGAGCCATTTCGTTCCCAACCGACCCATCACTATCAGTGGGGGAAAAATAATGCTGGATACCCACAGTGATACAGGATGGTTCATGTGCTTGGAATGAAAGGATGCCACACCATTTGATAGAAATAGAAATAATCATCCGACAGAGGGCTGAATTCAGAAACACCCCAAAAAATGATGTGGCAAATGAGTCCATTTTGGCCCCCAAGTGCTTGTATGCATGCTTGACAAAGTCGGTGCATGCCCCTAATGAGATGATGATGGCGTCCAGGGTGGATCTCTTCTCAGATCTGTACAACCTGAGGTGCAACCTGGTAGCGTCAGATGGACTGAAACATGATGTCTCACAGGTGTTCTGTTGGATTTAGATCAGGTGAGTGCGGGGGTCAATCAATGGTATCAGTTCCATCCTCCAGGAACTAACTCTGTTCATGAGGTTGGGAATTGTGGCATGCCAGGAGGAACCAAACCAGACATGATGAACAATGTTACAGCATAACGTTCTCCATGCTCAGTCTGATTCTGCTCTCGTCTGTGAAAAGCACAGGGCACCAGAGATGGTCAACTCTGGTATTCTATGGCAAATGCCAATCAGGCTTCACTGTACCAGGCAGTGAACACAGAGCCCACAAGAGGACATCAGGCCCTCAGGCCACGCTCATGAAGTTTGTTTCGGATTGTCTTGACAAAGACATTCACTTCACTGGCCTGCTGGAGGTCATTTTGTAGCTCTGGCAGTTCTCATCCTGTTCCTCCTTACACAAAGAAACAGTTACGGTCCTGCTGATGGGTTAAGGCCCTATTCAGCTTCTAGAATAACTGAATAGAATAAGTCCCCTGGAATCTCCTCCATGCTCTTAGACTTAGACTCAGCAAATATTCTGGCAATGGCACATATTGATGTGCCATCCTGGAGAAGGCGGATTGCCTGTGCAACCTCTGTAGGGTCCAGGTATCGGCTGATGATATCAGTAGTCACACCGACCCTAGCCAAATGCAAAACTAGTGAACAAACAGTCAGAAAAAACAAAGAGGGAAAAATGTCAGTGGTCTGTTTAGGACACTGTCTCATTGTTGCTCCTCTAGTGCACCTGTTGTTAATTTCATTAACACTAAAGCAGGTGAAACTTCCTCTGATCAATATGCCAGAGGTTTTAATGATATCAGCTGCTTATTTGACTCAGAAAATATACAGGGCAAAGCCACACCCGGCCTCAGGCCACAGTGTTTGTTGCCCTCATGTGATTTTTATGTATATAGCAAGGGAGGAACTCAAATCTTGGCTCCCTTATGAACAAATGAAAAACATATGAATATATGATTTAGCCTATTTGAATATTTGACAAGATTCAAAAACTTACAGTGAGGATCCTGTGCCTGTTGTCATAAAAGGAAGCTACAGTAGTCATTGTTATGCCAATATCAATGTTTATCTATCAATATATTATTTATTTTTTAAAACTAATTTCTATTTTCGCCATTTCTATGTTTCACTTTTGGAAAAAGGGAAGGGCAAGCTGCTTATTGAGCTCAGGCAAAGGTAATCACATGCTTGCAGTAATCATTCAGATTACAGGAAATCCGCTGAGGTGTTACATAACTTCACCTGTCTACGCCTATGTGCTCAGAGCAATTAAAAGGTATGTACACAGATCGTCGTGCACGAGTTTTCTGTTATCAAGTTTTAAAATATGTGGAAACCCGGGCATTTCGTCACTTGCTGGTGATATCAGATATGAAACTGTTACAGGGAAGTGTGAACTGTGACCCTGTTCCTATACACGTATACACATTTCCGACCTGACTGTATAGTTATGTGAGGTGGAGCCCTTTAAAAGAGAAAGGACAGCGGCATTTACAGTTTCCTTCCCTGAATGAACACCTCTCTCCTCTCAGAGTGCACTGGTAAGTTAAAATGCTTGTGTGTGTTTGTTGTAGCCTGATTTCAGTGTGATAACACGCAATGATAACTGTGTAGACTGAATATTATCAAACAGATCTGTAAATGACATCTGAAATTTTTATAAATCAGCTACCTGAACATAAACTTTTTTTTTTTTTAATTGCAGTGCTGTTTTATTCAAAATGTTTCTTTTGCCAGTTTTTGAAAATTCCTAATTGAACAACATAGATTTGGCTTATTTGTTGTGTGAAATGTAAGAACAATCCAGTCTCTTATGTAAGAGTTCTAATGCTCTGATTTGCCCTGATAGAAATAATCAATAATTGTTCTATTACATAAATTAAGTGCTTATCAGGACTTTTTTATGTGTTCATGACATGGCTCAAAGGTCAGTATCACGCAGCACCTGACTAAAGTCACGCTGCATTTCATATCAATGACAAAAACAAGCAGCAGTTTGTACAAGACAAAATGTTACACACACACATGTATATTATATATATGTCTTTCTTTGCTTGCCTTCTTTGCAGATTGACCAAAATGGCCCTTGAAACACTGGAAAGGGTCCACAGCAGCATTTCTCCAGACCCTTCAAAGCAAAACTGAACTTCAGGCAAAAGCACATCTGCCTGCAACACAGACGGATACTTCAAGTTTCAAGTGACAACACGATGCTTCAGCCAGACATTCGGTACACCAAAGTGCGATGGCTATTAACCATCGCTGGAGTCTTCCTGTATGTCGGGGACATTTGGACAGACATTGTACTGGCTGTGAAATATTTTCAAGAGGATCAATACGTCTGGACTGGGTTCACCGTGATGTTTATTCTGATCGGGCTACTGGTTACTCAGATCTTCAGCTATGCCTGGTACTGGGATGACTTGAATGATCCTCTCTTAAACCCTGAAGGAAAAAAAGAAATATCAGACATGTCAAAACCTGGGCTTGTTGTCCTGCATGCATTTGGATTTGGCATCTTTACCAGGTATGCCATTAAAATTACAGCTTTCATGAGACCACAGTAGCCGAAGTAGGATATGACCTTTGAGTTTAACACCTGCAAATTAACTTGAGGTTGCTTGCTGTACCTACAAAAAGGAGTGCCTGCATGTTGTGAGTCAAAACGTGCTTTATGATAATCACGCACATTGACAAAGTGGTATTTAATAAACTGGAATGCCCACATTCAAGCTGTGTTCAACTTGTTGTATGGCATTAAGATAAAAGCCTTACAAATGAATCACCGTCTATGCAGCAATAGCACGCTATGCAATAACACGTGCACTTCAGGGTGGCAGCTTGTTTGTTTTCATTGTGTTTGCCTTGTCTCTAGGTATT